ATAGGCTTCCTGGTCAAGATTAGGTTGCTTTTATGAACCAAGGCCACACCGCACTGTCATCTCCCAGCCAGGTCTCAGTAAATCCAAATAAGTGGATCCTAGAACAGATCAAGCCAGAAGCCTCCCTGGAAGCCAAGATGACCAAACTGAGACTGTTGCACTTCAGACACATCATGAGAAGAGAGGACTCTTTGGAAAAAACAATTATGCTGGGGAAGGTGGAGGGAAGTAGGAAGAGAGGAAGGCCACATGCCAGATGGATGGACTCTATTCAGGAGCTCACGGGTATTAAGGGGTTGGAGGAATTAAGCACAGCAGTGGAGGACAGAGGGTCTTGGAGATGTCTCATCCATAGGGCCACCATGAGTTGAGATTGACTCGAGGGCAGTTAACAACAAATAGATTCAATAGGTTTGGGAGGCAGAGGTAATAGAAATTATTTGAGCAGCCTCCCTCCAAGCGAGACTGGTACAGTGGACTGGGATGGCTTTAAAATGCACATCCTAGATGTTTGTGCAATATGGCTAAGCAATTAAATGCTTTTCAAATCTTTCACTATAAAATTTATCATTGTCAGTGGGCTTTGTAATTTGTATGGCATGTCTAGAACAACACTGTGTATTGAAATCACACAGGCAAATGTGTAATTAGATTCAAAAGGATTGTGGCTGCCTGCAAATTGTTGTGCTTTCTGCTGTTCCTTGTTGAGCATTAAAAAGCCCTCCCCCTTTTTTGTCTGTGTCCTGGTTTTGCAAAATGCTAATGCATTCTGTAAGAAGTATGTGCATGCGTCCACACATACACACACCACTATTTTTGGAAGGAGAAAACAGACATTGGAAAGTTACTTTTTTGGACTAGAGCTCTTCCAAGCCCTGGGAGAGACATTATACTATGAAAGACACAGATCATGAAACAATCCACAGGAGAATGTAGAGGACAGGAAGCAACTATTGAGGGCTATAAAATTCAGCTAATAATTAAAGCCAAGTCTTGCTCTTCACATTAAAGAAAACACAGATTCACACTGCTCTTCTCCAATAGAAGTTCCTAATCATATACTAATGGGGAGAACTCAGTGTTTCATGTCTTTCATGATTTATTTAGTGAGCATTCAGAAAGATCAAGGGTTGTTTCCTGTTACAGCAAAATGTCAGTGTGGCATTCCTGTGCTCCATCAACTTTAATCTTTGTAAAACATCACATGGCTTTAATTGGTCCTGATCCAAAGGCCTACAGAAGGAGCTTTGTGTAGAAAGGGGGCTTTCACATTTCTCAATCTGGTAATGAACCTTCAGCCAAGCAACCACACCCACCACACAACGTCTTCCAATGTAAGTGCGCTTTCTAGTGAAGGAAAAGAATCAGAAACTAAACCCAGGTTTGTATTCCAAGGGAAAAAAACATTACCTCACTGGAAAGATCTGCATGTCCTCCAACTTTGGTATGGACAGCCCCAATTAATCCTCTATTGTTCCACTTGTTCATCTGCTTTTAAAATGTTCCAGTTTCTCTCTCTTCCTCCCAACTTCCCCTTTTGTTCTCATATTACTTCAACTGAGTAAACATGAGTTCAAAGTGCAAAAGCAGTTTGCACTCAGCCGAGGGCAGAGGACATGAGAGGGCAGAGTTTTGCAGCCTCTGCCAGTTTGTATATTCTTTCTCATCAGTAACTTTTGCCATCTTGACTACAATCTGATTTTGCTTGGCTATACACGTCCTGGTTTTCATGTGTGCCTTCAAGTCATTTCTGACTTATGGCAATCCTAAGGTGAACTTATCATGGGGTTTTCTTGGCAAGATTTGTTCAGAGGGGGGGTTGCCATTGTTTGTTTTTTGTTTTGTTTTTATGCCAAGAGTCTGTGGCTTGCCCGAGGTCACCCAAGGAGTTTCCATGGTCAATGGGGATTGAAACTCTACTGCCCCCCCCCTCAACAGTAATAGCCCAGCATTCAAACCACTATATCTCACTCTCTTTGATTTCATGTGATTTTAGTCATAGGCCTATGCCTGCTATTTCTGAGTGATGCGAGAACCTTAGAAGAGTTCTGTTGGATCAAATCACAGCCCTCTCTAGACCAGCACTTTGCTCCCACAGTGGCCAACCAGACCCCTAATATTGGACAATTCACAACTGAGACCTGAGTACTTATGCTTCCCAGAAATAAATGGAACTGAAAGCATTTTTCTTTCAATAAATACCCTAAAAGCACCAAATCCCATCTGATCTTGGAAGCTAGACAAGGTCAGCTTTGGCTAGTACTTGGATAGGACTGCCAAGAAATGTGGGTAGACTACTTTTCAGAGCAAGGAATGGGCAAACAACCTGTGACTGTTCCCTGCCTAGGAAAACCCTATGAAATTGATGTAGTTGCCATAAGTCAACAGGTGACTTGAAGGTGCGTAGACACCAACAGTGAAGGTGATGTATAGCCGCTAAGGATTTAGCAGCCATTGATAGCCTTGGGCAGTCATTTATTTTTGCCTGTCTCCTTTTCCTTCTGGAATGAGAAGAGGGAATGATGGAGAAGTCTCTCAGTCATGTTTTTGCCGGCTTACATCAAGCAGATTCCTGCAGTCGTTGTTTGGGGTGTATGTCTGTGTATGCCTGTGTGTGCATTATAACTGGTCCTGTTTAGCTCCTACACTCACTTGGTAAAATTCAGATGTATGATTCATGTTGAGCAGCAGAGATTGTATCAGAATTATCCATCTTGCTGGAGAAATTGGTTTGTATTTATGTTTCATTAGATTCTCTGGGTAATTATGAAAACTAAGACAAGCGCTTGTGGCTTTCCAATAAGAACTATTTAGAGAAAAAAGGATAACATAGGTCAGAGAGACTAATCTTTTAGAGCAGTAGCAGCAGCAGCCTGTGTCCATATAAAAGGGATGAAAAGATAGAACACTCCTCTCTGGGGAGAGACAGAATAAAATAAAATAAATCTAAGGTTAAAGTGCTGCTTCATGCTCAGATTTCCTATTTGCATTTCTTTCACTCTTTTATTAACTATCAGTTCCACTTCTCTTTTTCTCAAATGCAACAGCGACATCTATCTAGATGCCAGAGCCAAATCAGCAAAAGGCTTTCTTTGCCTCCACAGCCCAGAATAATCTGATAGCACAGAAAAGTAATGTATTTTTTTTCTGCAGAAAAATCCATAAAGAAAAACCCAAATTAATTGCTGCCTACTCATACTGAGGAACAAGGCTGTGTATTGTGCTGCGACCATGTTATTTTATGTTATTTGTTTAATAAGATAATTAATCATTATCACACTATGCAAATGAAGGATTTGGTGCTGATTGCTAAAAACAAAAGTTTCAGCTTTCCTTTAATTCTTTTGTGGAGGAGGAGAAGGAGGAAACAGAGGAGATGGTGGTGGGGATAATGATGGTGGTGGTGGTTGATGCTGTTTCTAGCCCCTAAGGCTGCAAAGATGCATTATAAAACATGTGGGCAATGCTTGAGGAAAGCTTAGAGGCTGCAAAGCAGTCAGATGCATTTTGAGAGCCAAGGTTTCAGAATGCAATCCTTCGCATGCCTAGTCAGAAGTAAGTCCCATTCCACATTTTGTGCTTTGGTGGTCCTGGGCAAAGCTTTGAAAAAACACTACTTTGTTCCAGGCCCAGATATCTACTTCTCTTGCCTCAAGCTTCCTCTTATTTTGCCCTGCATAAATTATGCTGCAGGCAATCCTGAGCATGGATAGACTTGTACCCTTGTACCTAGTTAGAGAGGACTTCCTATTCATTTCTTTTTTTAACATCTCACCCTTTTCAAATTAGGGACCTTTCACACTGTACAATTACCACACTATAATTCCACTTTAACTGCCATGGCAATATCTATTGGAATCTTAGGACTTGCTGTTTAGGGAGAAGTGTTTAAAATTCTTATCCTGTGAGGTCTACCCCCTCAACAAACTACAAATCTCAGAATGCTTTGGGAGGCAGCCATGACAGTTAAAGTGGAATCATAGAGCTATAATTGTGTAGTGAGGAAGAACCCAAGGACTCAAGGTAACTTATAAAAATAATGTCATTAAAATACAATTAAGCTATGTGTAACACAAAGTCAGTGCAGTGTAGTGGTTTCAGTGCTGGACTAGGACTCTGGAGGCTAGGGTTCGAATCCTTTCAGTCATGGAAACCCACTGGCTGACCTTGAACAAGTCATACTTTCTCAGCCTCAGAGGAAGGAAATGGAAAACCCACTTTGAATAAATCTTGCCAAGAAAACCCCATTATATGGTCATGGTTGGATTGTTATAAGTTGGACACTACTTGAAGGCACACAACAACAGCAAAACACTTTTAAAACTGTTTTCTTAAAACCATTCAGTTTTTGAATTTTTAAAAAGCCTTCACCTGCCAAAAGAAAGATAAACAGGGGAGAGCCACTCTCTCTCGTAAGGGAGCTATAGTTTCTGCAAGTGGCTACCAAGTAGGTTGTCTCCTGCATTCCCACCGGATGTCCCTGTTAGACCAATGGGATGGAGAGAAAAGCTTCCCTGAACTATTGTATTTAATTAATTCATTTAGTTTGTTTCCCACATTTCTCCCTATATGGGACACATATCCATAGCCTGGGCAAGCTCATATGGGAGAAATCAGTCCTTCAGGCAAACTGGACCTGAGCCATACAGGGCTTTATAGGTCATTGCTAGCACTTTGAATTGGACTTGAAAACATACAGGGAGCCATTGAAGCTGTTGTATCAGAGGAATTATGAATTCCCTGTGACTGTGATCAGCCCCAGACAACAATCTCAGGGTCAGCAGAAGTTTCTGAACCCTTTTTCGAAAGCAGTCCAATGTGGAACATGTTGCAGTAATCTCAGTAGCATCCTAATGGGGGAGTGGAGGGAGTGCCACCTTGGGTGCAGAAAGATCAGGGGGTGCAATGGTGGCTCCTCATTCCTCCTCCCTCACAAAGGTGCCAAAACAGGGAAGAAAGGATCATCCACAAGGAACGTGAGTTGGCCAGAAGATACTTGCTGTTTGCCTCAAGACAAGCCTCTCTCTTCTTCTCCCTCTTCCCTCCCTTTGGAATTTCCTTGAGTAAGGCAGAAAAGAAGCGAGGAGGTTAGAGCTGAGGCGATGGTAGGTGCTGCTTCCTTTAGAATATGAAATTGTTTGTTCTCAAAGAAGTAAACCTGCTGGTCTGTTGTAGCAGAAGAAATAATGGAGCAGGGGGTTGGAATCTGGTTTAAAACAGAAGTGCTTGTGCCCCCAAATCCGAATTCTTGTTTTCAGATCAAGTTATACCTGCTATATCTTCAAAATGGTATGGAGCAGGACCTACTAGAAGGACTCATTGTTGTACTGTGCTGTACAAAGGGAAGCTACCATCAATCTCAGGCAACCCACTGTAATTAAGGGAAGCAGTGTCAGGATCCACACAATTAATTCATGCTTATAAGTAAACTTTATAGCAACAGATACCTAGCCGCAAAATGGGCTAGCACAAGGTTCTCTTCTCTCTTATGTAAGGGTGGGTGATGCGGGGAGAAAATGACTAAACAGGTGTGTTAAAACAGAAGCCAAATTGCTCAGGCTTTAATCAAGAAATATTATGGTTAATCATGAAATCAGCAAATTCTAATAGCTATGAAACTTGAATGACTATGTTTCCTGCATTGAGGTATGTTGTTATTTGTGGAGCATCCTTCAGAAACACCAGGGAGACTATGGTAAAAAATATAACCAACCGTTTTAGCTTTTCTTTTCTTTTTTTTACATGCTGTGTCCTCAGGAAACAACTGGGAACAACAGCAGAGCTCTAGTAATTGGGGTGTAAAACCAACACATTTGAAGATCTGAAGACACTGTTGCAGGCAGTCTTCAGGAGGCAGGAAGGCTATATTCATGAGTGAGAGTCTCCCACGCCTGCCCAGGGCGCTGGTCCCCTGCCATCTCACATCAGGTTCCAATTTGCTATGAAGAGCTCATGATCAAAAGGCAATCCTGTATTACCCCAATCCAGTATAAGCCTCCAGGTTTCTCTCCCCAGGAGATCCTATTGCCTCAAGCAGCCCAGATCCTGAAGCCCTCCTAACCCATGTTGAGCAGTTCCATAAGGCGGATAATTCATCTAATCAGATTTCTGGAGGCCTGCCATCAAATGTACTAGAGGCAAGAATAAAGACTGATCATTATTTTGTTCTTTTCTTTATTAAAATGTTTCAGCCACCCAGTTTTCAAAGGATTAAGGCATATAGCATCCATAAAAATGTGTGTGTCCCCATATGCGCATATACACATATTATATACATATACATAAAGAGGTAAACTCAAGTCTCAGTCTTGAAGTATGCCATTTATTCAAACTAGAAAGTAAGGAAACCAGCAACCACATAGTCTCAAATCCAGCACTAGGTTACAGAAACTAAAGTATGGGATTAAGTATACCCACCATATTTGACTATATGTACCTTCTTTTAACCAAACTCTGTCAAGCATACACATCTACATATGGGACCCCATAGTTCAAGCAAAATTAGGGTGCTTAAGTACAGGAGGACAAGTGAGCAACTAGATCAAGGCCCCTTGTTTCAGCTTCAGTGATTGAAATTAGTTCAGCTCATGTACAGCAAAAACAAGTGTATTTTGTGGAACCTTAAATTGCTACTGATTTCAAATTGACTTTAGCACAAGGAACATTATTTGAACCAGATTCTACAACTTTAAATTGCTGGAAAATGAGTTTAACTGGGACTACTCCCCCAACATGCTGAATATCAAAATATGACAGCATGTGAGGTCACCATTTGAAGTCAAATAAATGCTAGAAACCTATATATTTGTGTTTAAATGGGGCAGAGGAAATACTGCAATGACTATTAAGCTTATTGCACGGCACTTACAAGAACGGGATCGGAACAGAACGGAGCAAAAACACATTTTTTTATAATAATAAATAATAATAATAAAAGCAAAAAGGCACTTAAGACAGAGCTCTTCCAGTGGGCCTATCCATCTGATTTTCTAGAT